TCAAACTGCCGGCACCTGTGCTGCTTCTCGGCTTCTCTTTAAGTCCTTTCCTGTGTGGTAGGACAGCAGTTGTCTCTAAAAGCTTTGCTGTGAAACAGCTGAGGGTGTGTGCTGGGGGGGAGGGAAGAAGTGTTTGTGTGTAGAAGGGATGTTTCCAACAGCAATACTCCTAATGAGTAGGAATAGCAGCAGTAATAGGAATGGGGAAGAGTGAGTAGTAACTAATAGTATGTGAATACTTATGTGTGTTGTCTAGGGACCTGGTCTATTGTTGGCTTTTTTGTGTCTTAAACCCACCAAATTGTGTATAGTTTTTAAAAATCCTGTGACAAAGTGGTGGCAGTGGTAGGATATCCCAAAAGAGGTGGGGGCTGGGATGGGATAGCCAAACCTTAGCTGCAAAAGGAATGATTTGGACGAGGGGATAGATGGGGAAGTCATCAAATTTGCAGACGACACCAAGCTGGCAGGAGTAGCCAACAATCCAGAAGATAGGATTAAGATACAGAAGGATTTTGACAGACTTGAACATTGGATGCTATTTAACAAAATGAAATTCAATGGTGAAAAAAGTAAGGTTCTACATTTAGGCAAAAAAAAAATATGTACAGGTACAGTATAGGTGGTACCTGGCTCAGTAATAGTAACTGTGAGAGGGATTCCGGAGTCCTAGTGGACTTAGATATAAGCCAGCAGTGTGCTGCAGCTGCCAAAAAAGCCAACATAGTGCTAGGCTGCATTAACAGAGGGATAGAATCAAGATCATGTGAAGTATTAATACCACTTTACAATGCCTTGGTAAGGCCACACTTGGAATACTGCATCCAGTTTTGGTCACCACGATTAAAAAAGATGTTGAGTCTCTTTCTAGAAAGAGTACAGAACAGAGCAACAAAGATGATTAGGGGGCTAAAACATATAAGGAACGGTTGCTGGAATTGGGTATGTCTAGTTTAATGAAAAGAAGGACGAGGGGTAACATGATAGCAGTGTTCCAATATCTCAGGGGTTGCCGCAAAGAAGAGGGAGTCAAGCTATTCTCCAAAGCACCTGAAGGCAGGACAATGGATGGAAACTAATCAAAGAGAGAAGCAACCTAGAACTAAGGAGAAATTTCCTGACAGAACAATTAACCAGTGGAACAACCTACCTCCAGAAGCGGCGAATGCTCCAACACTGGAAGTTTTTAAGAAGAGATTGGACAGCCATTTGTTTGAAATGGTATAGTGTTTCCTGCCTGAGCAGGGGGTTGGACTAGATGATCTCCAAGGTCCCTTCCAACTTTATATTATTATTATTGTTGTTATTACTGTCTGACCCTTGCAGAGTTTAGACTTTTCAGGCAACAGCCAACAATCCTGGCAACAGAAACTCGACCTCACACTAGAGCCTGCACCAAACAAACAGGAATGTAAAAAGTAGAAGGGCAGATTCTCCCTTAAAAGAGACTATTATTTTGGTAGAGACAGGTATCTACCCTAGCAAAAGAAGGTAGACCAGGCAGAAAAGTGGGTAACTTCAGATACTTGGGCCAATATCATTACAGGAATTTTGAGGCAACAGCAAGTGGATAGGCTTTAATTTAAAAAAAAAAAGCCTTTGAAGAGAAACGGGAAATATAGGCTAGAATGGGAAGAGTGAAAGGGAGGGGCACATTCACCTCTAGGGTTTTCAGAACATACAGAGAGCAGAAATGGTCCCAAAGATCTCAAAATCTCTAGGTTAACCGAGGAAGACGATATAGCAGTGATGGCGAACCTTTTAGAGTCCGAGTGCCCAAACTGCAACCCAAAACCCACTTATGCATCGTCAGGTGCTGGGTGGGTGTGGCCCATTGGGTGGGCGTGGCTGCGGTGGTAACAGCAGACTGGGTGGGACTAAAAATTTCAATCAATTCCAACTTTGTGAGATCTTTTTTTTCCGAGAGAAGTTGAAATTGACTGATTGAACCTTTTTTTTTCTTTTTTGCACACGGCGGCAGAGGCCTAAAGCGAAAAGCTTTTATAAAACCCAGCTGAAGGCCGAGGACTGGGGCGACGGCGCACGTGCCCACAGAGAGGGCTCTGAGTGCCGCCTCTGGCACCTGTGCCATAGGTTCGCCACCACTGCGATATAGAGACCTATTTAATTATGTTTGAAAAAGTTGCTACTTATAAATGGACAATGAATGGGTGGCCAGATTAGCCCCATGTTTAACAGGAATTGCTCTAAGGGTTTATAACAGTCTTTCAGCTAGGGGAGTAATAGATTATCACATTAAAGAGGTAATCCTTTACAGGTGTCATGTAACTCCTTACACCTATAGGCAGAGGATTAAGTCCTACACAGATGACAAACAGGAAGGGATTCGTGTATTGTGGGGAAGACTGAAAGATCTAGGTAGGAAATAATTGAGGCCAGAAGAAGCAAAGAAAAATTGGTAGAGGAAGTAATTTTAGAACAGTTTCTTCATGTACTCCCTACTGAAGTGAGATTTTTGGATGCAAGACCACCACCCAAGAAAATGGGTCAAAAGGCAGCAAAATGATCAGAGGCTGTTTGGAAGGAAGACACAGGAGAAAGAACAATTAAGAAAGCCTGTTTCAGAAAGTAGGAAGCATAAAGATCTGGAAAGGTTAAATGAGAAGTCTAAAGAAGCATTTAGCCCCTACCTAAATGAAAGGAAGGCCTTTGATAAAATAAAAGACACACAGTGTGTGAAGCCAATATTGAAAGGGCCGAATTTTAAACAACCCTTTGTCCTACAAATAGATACATCAAACAGGCTTAGGCACAGTGCTTGTCATAAGTCATGAAGGGATGGACAACCCTGTAATTTATCTCTCAAAGAAGCTCCTCCCAAGAGAACAAAAGTATGGCACCATTGAAAAAGAAGCCTGTGCAGGAAAATGGGCAATCAATGCTTTGCGTGTATATTTAGGAGGTTGGGAATTCGCTGTAATCACCATCAAGCACTCAGCTGATGGCTGCAACAAATGAAATTCACAGTTAACCCAAATGGTATCTCAGATTACAACCTTTGCCAGTTCAATATCACAGATCAAGATATGGACAGCAAAATGTCATTGCTGATTTTCCTACCATGGCATGGAAAAAGACACAAATGGCATTAGCCTCATGGAAAAAAAAAACACCGGGGTTGATTTTTCTTTTATTACTATTAAAAGATAGGAGGTGTGTGGTAGGCTACTTAAACAATTTCCAGCATCTGTGCTCTTTTCTGTCTCTTCTCTTTAAGCCCCGCTCCCGTTTCAGCAGGGCAGAGGTCTATAAAAGCTATGCTGTGAAACAGCTGAGGGTGTTGGGAAGAGGAATGTTTTTTCTAGCAATATTTGTAAGGAGCAGGAATAGCAGGAGGAGTGGAGAAGAGTGAGTAGTATTGAGTAATATGTATAGTATGTATGTTGTCTAGGGAGCTGTGCTGCTGATGGGTTGTTTGTGTTTTGAGCCCACCAAACTAGGTATAGTTTAAAAGGCAGAATTGAATCTTGGAATCAGATTTGCAGGTTAGGCACTAATGAGATATGCAGGGTATGCTATTTTATTATCTGAAAATAAAAATGATTCAGAAGAGCTCCTTGTGAAAGTAAAAATGGAAAATGAAAAATGAAAAATCTGGGCTAGTGTTAAATAACAAGACAACAAAATAATAACAGCTAGCATGCTTAGTGAACCCACAATGAAGAAAACAGATACTTATGGGGGTTTTTTGTGTTCAGCAACAAAAATGGGTATAAAGCATTAAAAATGAGATTAGTCCTAGGGAAGAAGGCAATGACAAATTTAAGCAAGGTAATGAAGGCTAAGGACATTGCCATGACAACAAAAATCAGAAAAATTAAAGTAATGGCTTTTCCAGTAGCAGTATATGGCTGTTGAAAAATAAGATACATGTCTTTAAATTATGGATTTTAGAGTCTGTTGCTATCAGAGCCATGGATTGGGAGAAACATAAATATGTCCTGGATGAAATAAAAAATTACTATTCCCTTAAGAGAATTATCAGCAAGCAGACTTTGGTCATGTGATATGAGCAGGTGATAGATTAGAAAAAGATCTTTTCCAAATATCCTTTGAGGGAAGCATAAAAAGGGAAGGAAAATAGATAAAATGTAGTGGACAAAGGACATTATTGGAATGTCATTGCAAAAGCTGTGGATCATCACAGGGGACAGACTGACATGACTGGCAGTTGCCAAGTTCTGACTCAAGAGTTTAACTCATAAGCAAACCATGTTCTTTTATTACTCCACTATTTGAATTTCTATTCCTTAAAAACTTTACAATAGCTCCCACCTATAATCTGAATTAATGTAGTCCACTTGTTTTAATGAACTAATAAAGTCTTCACAATTCTTCTTTAGTCACCAATTATTTTATTTATAAAAATAGGACCTTTCATGGAAATAAAATGGTACAAACCCTACCTAACACTCACCATAAAGCATCAATATTTTCAACAAGTCCACTGCAGGTTTGGGATCTGAGAATGGAAATCAGAGGTAGTGTCATCAGCACACTACTGACATTTCAGTCCAAATTGTTTAGCTTTGTGTAAACGCCGAAAAGCATAAGAGCCACAAAGGAAGTTTATAGAATCCAAATTATCATCAAAGGCCATAGAGTGGGCCACAACTCCATTTCCCCACTTCTCTGACTGATCCTCTGAGAGTCAGAAAAACATTTTCTCTAAACATGAGAAAGGAGAAAAGCAAAGCACTCGAGAGATGTGTTTAAGTATATAACAGGGGTAGGCAACCTTGGCTCTTTTATGACTTGAGGAATTCAACTCCCAGAATACTATGCTGGCTCAGGAATTCTGGGAGTTGAAGTCCACGAGTCATAAAACAGCCAAGGTTGCCTACCCTTGGTATATAAGAATATGTTCCTAGGAAGTTTTTTTTTAATCCCAGCACAATATAAGCACTAAGTTATGCTGATAGGTTTACATTATTTTCAGTGTCAAATATTAAAGGCAGCGAAACATTTAGAGAATAAAGAAACTTTATTTTATAACAGTATTATGAAGCAAAATATCACTTAATACAACTTCAAGCTGCTATAAATTTAATATGGCATCTTAACTATACAGTTCATATGGCGAACAATGGCGAACAATGGAGAAAGTTAACAGGTTTTCATAGAGACCTCCTCAGTAGCAGGCACCATTGATAATGGGCTGAGGCCATAGCCTTGGTTCCTTCTGGTCCTCAAAACCTGTTCCTATTATTAGGCAAGCTACTTAAACAACAACAACTGCTCAACAAATGTCAGTTATATAACAGGAGTTAATGAGTTTTTATTAGGGCTGGGCAGCACTTAAGATTCAAAGACAAAAAGGCACTTCAAAGAGTCCAAGGGAGACCATCTGTGGTACTGGACTGCAACTGCTTAAGTGAGATATGTCTATTCCTGGGATCGCACAGACAAACCTATGGAAAACTTCTGCTTTGTTTAACGAGTTGCCGAGAAATTCTGCATGCTGCTTTCCGTGTGTGCTCTGAAACACTTTCTGCATTTGAATCAGAAGCACTGCCAGCCCTGTTTTTAGGCAAAGCAAGCTTTCAGCAGATGCATTTATATAATGGAAGTATCTGACATTTAGCGTATTAAGAGAAAAGCATTAGGTTTTAAGCTGCCTAAATTTGCTGGAAGGACAGAGCAAAGTCCTTCCAACTCTGGAATGTTGCAGACCATAGTAGGTCTCTTTGAAGAGACTAGCTGAGGACAGTGAAGTGCAAACAAAAGGCTACTTGAACAGTGGTTGGTCAGTAGAAATATTTTTTATAACTAAAAAAAATCACTTCTATATGATACCAGCACCAGTTCCCTCACAAAATAGATCATCAGAATAAACAGAAAAATTTTATATAGGAATCTATATAAAATCATACAAGTTTTCAGTTTACTTTCCCTGCCAAACTATAAGAACATTTTGTATTTTTTTTAATAAAAAGAATATTTTTATTGTATCATTTGATATTTATCTGAAAAAGTAAAAATTTTTCCAGTAAGTCTTTGAGATATTTTGAAAAGCATATATCTAAATTAGTCAGGTTTTTTTTTCCCCCTGCATAATAAAACTGCTCAAGTAAACAGTGCTTTCTAAATATATTTGCTTACTTTCATGCAATCAAGAAATCAGTTATACAAAAATAGCAGGGAATTGAACAAAAAAAAATTCTCTAAGGCTCATTAAAAAAAATAATCCAAGAAGTTAAACATCGGTTATAAAAAAAAAAAGACATACATGAGAAACTGTAAAGTTGGTAATTCGGTTTGGAGAAGTTTGGTCCCTGTGGTGAGGCTTGGTATATTCAGTGAAAGACTGGCTGGGATATCAACTTGGAATTATTTAAGTTCTTCATAGTCTCAAAGCATTCTTCATAAATCTAATGAAGCAAGCAATTTAATGCAATTATTGTTATAAATCTTAAATTATATTAAAACATTTTTTTACTAAATTGCCTTTTTTCCTCTTTTGAAAACAGTTTTCCTTTTCAAAGCCTCATGCTACATTTTTCAGATAAATTTCAGACTTTCTATAACTAATTGTTCCAACCACCATTAAGCTGGAGATGGACAGATCCTACTACTTTATTCTATAATTATAACGAACAATGTTATACTTAGAGTGTAGAACCCAAACCCAGCTATTATTAAAAATCCTTATATGTTTATCTTTAGATAAACATAACTTCTACTTCTGGAAACATCTCCTGTTTGTTTTATTTATTTTTTAGATTTATTTGCTGCCCATATGGCCTCAAGTTATTGAAGCAACCACTAGTCAAAAGATAATTTTTTTCTTACTATCATTACCAATGTATCGCAAAATAGAAGCATTACATAATTTTTAAAGTAGGCGTGCCCAGCTCTGCCTGTCTTAATGTTGGAGACAAAGTCAGATATTACATGCTACTACCTCTCTTCCACATCTGGCTAGCTTTGGAAAAGCTGTGGTGTGGAGCAGAGACTTGATTTCTGCCAACGTAGGCCACAAATTGCTTTGAAATCTGTGAATCTCTCAAGGTACTGTCACACTAATCCACAATTCTAAGGGCAGGAATATAACTGATACTTCCCTGATATCCAAATACAGTTGTGACTTCAAGGCAGGATCAAGAGCTTTTTACTACTTAATTTACAGTAAAGTCATTCATCAGAACAGGATGCAAGAGAGAATGCTTGGCCTCCGTTATGCAGAAATATGGTAATATTTTTTTTTTGTATTATCTACATTAAAATTCAAGGCTTGTAATTTTGAAAACACAAGGTTACCATAAAGCTCCAAGTTTCCATCAAGATCACTGATAATGCTGGAATATACTGTTCTAGCTTGTAAATATTCAGTCTGATATGTCAAAAATCATTTGAAAATCCATATTGTTATTAATTCACCTAAAACATTTACATGGCATTTTTTAAAAAGCATGTTGTTGAATATAACACAAAACTTTCTTACCATACTTGATTGGTTTTTTTTTTTAAAAAAAAATGTTGAATACCATTTGGGAGTTAGCTCCAAAAGTTTCCAAGCTGTGTGACAAATAGTCATATATAGGAAAACCTGCCTAGTTATTATTAAAAGGGCCTGTGTGGCTTTCACACAAAGAATGATGCTTTCTAAGAACCGTGTTATTTAGGATGATAATAAAAACATTCTTTCACCAAATGTTTGTTAATTATTCTAATGAATATTTTAAAGGAATTATTTTACATTTTTATATTTTTTTTGTTGTGAATGTTGGAGTAAACAAGTGGAGTATAATGATACATATAATGTGTCACTGATATATATGTATCAGTGATATATATAGCTTAAGTAGGCTTTAAATCTTCCTGGATAAGGAAAACAAAAATTGTTGTATGTTGGAACAGAAGATTGCATTAGATCTTCATACACAAATATTTAATATACCACCAGGTGGTATCTTGACAGTATTCTCAATAGACAGGTATCCTTTTTGCCATTTCTCCATGTCCTTTCCTTTTTTTCTCCTGTACTCTTGTTTTCTGAACCATTCTTTAAAAAACAAAAACAAAATGGAAGAATAAAATCACTGCAAAATTCCACAAGGAATATTCAAGTTGAGGTTTTCATGTGGTTGGTATCAACAATCAGCACTTCTAAAGCCATTATGGAGAAATTCTCCTACAATTATTCCATCAAGTATTGTTGTATACATTATGGGCTGAAGATTCATACCTTAATGGCCTTCTTCTTCAAGTTCACTTTCCTTATGCACCACTACTCTTGTTACGGACATGTCAGGGTGCTGTTCTTTGGCTTCTTTAATGGCTTGCGCCAATGCCTGCAATGCCAGAAAAATGGAATAACTATGGCAAATTAAAATTAAACAGAGTTTAATGTGTAATGGCTAGCAAAGCTCTTAATGCTAATCTTCCTGGAACAATTTGAATTAAATATTAAACCAAGCATATCATTTCCGTAATAAAACAATCAACTATAAAAGAAGAAAACTTTTAAAGTGTTATATTTGAAAGCTAATAAATACATTTACAAATTTGTTTGAATGATATCAAGTAAAGTATTAAAATTTGTAGAAAGCTTGTTAAAGTAAGGATTCTTTTTCATGTTTTGTTTTGTAAGGGTACTGAAGACTACTCAGTATAGCATATGTAGTGTATGTATGCTAAAGCAATTGTTTTCTTTTAGTCTCCAATATGCCTTGTTCTAATATTTAGCCCATTTTTCCCTCCCTGAGCTGATCTACAATCTCAGACTAATGAAACACAATTTAGAAAACAAATGGCAATTGGAAGAGTTAAATATTTCCTTCTTGTTCATCATTTCCATTCTACAATTTTGTCTCTCCAATTTGTGCTAATGTGGTAACTGCAGAATTTGGAAAATCCATTGCCAGAACACTAGGCAGTAATTTTACTCTACAATTTTACTTGTTGATGTGGAAGAGGTCAGCAATCTCGATAGAATCCCTAACCCTAAGCCAAAATTAATACCTGCTTTCTATATATAGTTACCCTAAACTTCAGTTGAAAAATATGCAAAAACAAACCCTAAGGAACCGCACGAAGAAATGTACAAAGACATTTTTTTTCTCTGCCTGACATTTCTTTAGTAGTATTTTTTTCAGAATGTATGGAAACAAAAAGAATACTACTGTATAAAAAAAAGATTCTAATTTAAAGGTCTACACAGAAACAATGATAGGTATACTACTGAAAAAAGCACCCATGTATTTTACACACAAAAAAATCAACATTTATGGATTAGTTTCAAGCAAATTCATAGGTACCACTGCAGGATTACTTTAGGACAGTGTTTTTCAACCTTGACAATTTTAAGGCATGTGGACTTCAACTCCCAGAATTCCACAGCCAGCATTGCTGGCTGTGGAATTCTGGGAGTTGAAGTCCACATGCCTTAAAATTGTCAAGGTTGAGAAACACTGCTTTAGGATGTCATAATTGTTGTGATTCTTCGTCAGCCAGTGGACACGGCAGATGAGTCTGAGGAATCAGAGGAGGAGGAGGAGGGGCCTGGAGTGCCATCAAAGTCAGAGGAAGGCTCTGATGAGCCCCAAGACTTACAGTCTGACGAGGAGCCTGGCCCCTCCACTCGTGCTCTGGCTGAGACACAACTGTGCTGGGAGGTTGAGTTGGACTGTGAGGACTCACAGCTGGAAGACATCAGGGATGCTTGCAAACACCGACAGGCAACAAGAGTTGGACAGAGGAATGCAATGGGGTGACTCCAAAGGCAAAGGAGAAGGCATTAGAAAGCCACACCTTGGGTTGCATAATAAAAGGGAAGGTGTGGGAGGTGCTGGTTGCTGAAGGCAACCGTTTGTGAAGGACTCAAGTTTCATGGAATCGTTGTTTTGTTTGCCTCTGCCTTTGGACAATTTTCTGTTTGGAAGAAAGCAAGTGACTTGTGTTTTGTTTGCCTTTGCTTTTGGTCATTTTGTAGGTCTGTAAATAATACTAAAAGGGGTTTGTTTCCTTCGGTTCCAGCCTGCTTGTTGGAAGAGGGGTTTCTCCTTGTGAATTTAACAAGGACTCACGTAGGCTGGGACAGAACAATAATTTTATAGACTCCTAAATAGAGATGATACATTTAATTTTATTAAAACAAACATGTTGTCTGACTTTTTCAAATTCCCCAACCGTACTGAGCATGTGTTGGGAAGAATATCCCTAATGCTAAGCAGCTCTGCCATTTCATTTCAAGTTTCAAGGAGAGATTGAACTTGTCACATACATCCAAATCTCAAATTAAATTTATTTAGAGGCCTTGATACATTATCATTAAGAAATTAAAATTAAATTATGGTTAGATTTATTTATGAAGAGTTTAATAAGGACATACTATGAGTTTAATGAACATTTTTTTTTGCTTTTATCTACAATAATCAATCTTTTTGTATATAAAGCATTTTGCAAATTAAATAATTTAACTATTGTTCATTTTATCACTAGTTCCAATTCTTACACCTTATACATATTCTTAAATCTTCCTTCTCTCCATGTATAATTCCCTCATTATAGAACATATATAATTCTCTCATTATAAGCATTCATTTTGTCTCACCTCATCATGATCAAGATCTGTATCTCCCGTGATAACAATCCGCTTTTCAATTCTGGTTTCTGACACACCACCTTTTACCATCTACAGGTTTCACCAGAAAAGGATTATTTAATCTTATAATACTGTGAATTTACTTGACAAATATTGCAATGAAAAAGAAATTCAACAGAAGCTGCAACACACACTTAAAATAGAATTGGAATAAAGAGGGAAAAGCTAATGCACTGTCACTTCTAGATTAATATTCCTGCTATCTAGAACTGTTTCTGCTACAGGTGCATTTTATTGATAACTGCAATCATTCCTAACCTCTCTTCAGCACACCCTCCTCTGAATGCATCATATTGGGAAAAAAGATGCTAGAGAATTGTTAATGGTACAAGAAAGAAAATAACTGGAAACACAATTAAAAGATATGTCCAGTTGAAAAAGGGTTGGAACCATTTTGATATTCTACCAGCCCTTCATTAAGAAAAACAGGATTCAAAATGCAAATTAAAATAGTTCTTGCCTAGAAAGTTTAACTGAGCCAAAATCAGTGCATCCAACACTTCTCTGTCTTCACTAGCCAAGTAAAGGGAGGCCTCAGAGATGAAGAAATAAATATAGGTTTTTGCCTCCATCCCAACGACTCATGGCTATTAATTTGTTTGCTGGCTTAATTTGATTCATATTTTTATCAGTGAGGGAGAAGGGAGCAGTATTCTGTTCAAAGGTGAGCATGAAACCCTTTCTGAGAAGGAAACCAATAAAGGAGGGGGCCTGGGGATAGATTTGGCTCTTGAGCTATATCAGTGATGGCGAACCTATGGCACGGTGCCAGAGGCGGCACTCGGAGCCCTCTCTGTGGGCACACGTGCTGTTGCCCCAGCCTCGCCTCCCCCCACGACCCCCTCCTCTCCAGCAGCCCCCCTGAAGGAGAGTCACCCCTGAGCATGGCCCAAGCGGAGCAGCGCAGCCAAAGACATGGCAGCCAGACAGCGTAGACAAGACTCTGCCCTCACACTCCATTGTGCAGTTGATGTTGCAGGGCGCGGGCAGAGGGCGTGACTGCCATAGCGCTGCTGGGCTGCCTGGGCGATCTGTGGTGGGCCCTGAGGCGGTGAGTAGCCCTGCGGGTAGGCGGGGTGGGGGCGGAGCGGGGGTGGGGCCAGTTTTTGGGCACTCAGTCTCTAAAAGGTTCACCATCACTGAGCTATATATTCTATTCCCTATGCTAGGTTAGAAAAGACTTCTTCTACCAGTTGCCTGCCTTTTATTACATTATTTGGAAATTAACATTTTTAGAAAGTCCACAAGCAATAAAATAGTGGAGGGGGGAGGAGAGGCAGAAAAATTAATCTAGTCTACATTTAAGATAATCAGCAAAATCCCACTGTTGAAGAGCTTTGGAATACTCTTCTGTAAATTTTTGATTGGCTGCAAGTTTTACAGTATTTTTATCAACTGCTCTATAGGAGCATGGTGGCTCACATGGTTAGGATGCTGGATTGGAGATTAGCAGGCCTGAGTTCAAGACCCAAGTGCTGCTATGGGGCAGGTGAGCTCCTGTTCTTTGCTCCTTTCCTGCCAGGGACAGGAAAGGAACCTCCAAGTGGGCATCCTGCAGGCAATCGTGATATCACTGGTTAATCCTTTCAATCCAGAAGTGCCTCGATCCTTCTGATACAAGAGCAATGCGATCAACTGCTCTGTTGATCATTAAATATTATTTCACTTTTATTTCTGACATAGGATCATACTTTTATTATTAAAGTATGTTACTTTAATAATTTTATTGTGTAGTACCTAGAAGTATTTGCTAAAATATTAAAAAGGGAAAAGCCTTTGCAAGAACTATGTTTCTTAGCATAGAGTAACACACAAAACTATAAAGAACTTTATAAAACTAGTATTCATGTATGAGAAGCCAACTACAAAAGCCACCTCTAACCAAACCAATTACAAGTAAAATAAATATTCCTTGGGGGAGTGTAACCATATCACAACAGGGACAAATGCTGATGTACATGAACAGACTTGATTACTTTGGTTTCACTCATCCTCTCAATAGCACATCTAAAGCAACTTTTATGCCTTATTTATATGGACATGCAAATATGGCCTCCAACTCTGGGGTTAGGAAAAGGATAAGGACCATTATGAAGATGCCCCCACAGCAGGAGGAATCAAATAGAAGCAATTGAACTTGTTTATATAAACCAGAATTATAAAGCTTAAAGATTTAAGAAAAAAGCTGAGTGATAAAAGCTTCAAGCTCTAAATTATTTCTTTTCTCCTACCTTAGTAATATGTGTGGTTGTGGTAGTAGAGACAGATTCCGATGTGATTGTCTGCGCACTCAACAACATACCAGCGTCACCACCATCATCAAACTACATAGGCAAAGAGCAAATACTGATTAAAAATTAAATAAAAACACAAATTTATTATTTTTTTTAAGCAGAAGCAACCTTGTAAGAAATCAAATGCTGCCTCTCATCAACTAGATTGTATTCGAGCACTGTGTCTGCTTATATCCTGATTATGAAAGCAATGCCATTTCTTCTTTGTTTGTGACCTGAGCAGTAAACAGTATGATTTTCGGACAGAAAAGTATCCAATTCCAATCCATTTCAATTTGCTGATGCCTAACATATCAATGTGTAATCGATTCATTTCATCTTTCATTATGTTGAGCTTTTTCATGTTTGTGCTTCTTCTATTTCATGATCCTTCAATAATTCTCTTTGCAGAGAATTCAGATACTATTTCCTGTTAGGCAAAATCAGTGACTAGTTGTCCCAAAGACTTGAATCTAGCAGTGTCATTGAGCAACATAAGTACTCCAAAATACCATCAACAAATACTCCTGGCATACACAATGGACATTCTTTGTCCATGCCTCCCAGGAACATCCCACCACTACCACTATCACCACAATGAGGCAGCATAGCATGGATTTGAGGAGGAACAATTCTTCAGAAGAGTTCAATTTGTTAGAGAACAGAACAATATTGTCTTGTGGTGAGGATATATGAAGAGGTAAGCTCTTACAGTGAGTAATATGACATTAGAAATGTAAAGACAGGCTTGTGACAGGGCTTACAGGCAGGACAGTAACTTATTCATGTTGCAAATGTACTAGGCATCCTGATTTGTTTAGGCAGGCTAATGCAGTGTATGGAAGAAATCCGTATACCTTATCATCCTGTTATCTCTATAGGATCAAAAGGAATTATTTCTCTCAATCATTTGGAAAGTACTGTATATGGAAAGGAAGCCATGATTGTTGTGATCATGATTGTTATGATTCATATCTTCTTAAATTCTCATCTAGATAGGTAGCACGATCCCTTTCATTAAACATAGCTATTTTAATTTAAACATTTGTACCTGAGGAGATTCATAGGTGATCGTTTTAGTCTCTGTCTGAACAATTGGGACTTCTTTGGTGGATATTTCAGTTCTTTGTGAAGCATCTGAAATCGTCACCATCTCAGTTTTAATAAGTGGAGGCTAGTGTTCAGAAAATACAGAAGACTATATTCAAAAGTCATGAAACAGTAAAGTACACAATATGCAGACTACAATCGAGCTTGATGTGAGAAAATAATGGTTATTGTAAAGGTAAGTTCAATTTTCTAAAGTCAAATCTTAATACCAGGTACACAATTCTAACAAACAATAGCATCAATAACCTACCTATAGAGCATTTTCAAACTATATTAGTAGATATTCTATTCTGTATTAAAGGATGTTAACAGATTAAGGAAAAACGATGTCTAAGCCCTTTAAATATGCAACTCCAAAAATATCTTAAACAGGTATGATGAACAGAATAAATCAGGCATTGTTTGGCTTCTCAATATACCAGTGATGCCTGACGAGGAATGGTCAAGTAAAATTTACTAAAGATGAAAGTCAGTTATGAATCTATGCTACTTAATCCCTGCCTCTCCATACACCCAGATTTAACTGATTGGCACTATTATTTTTTTGACAAGAATGCTCACTAAATCTATCATGTACACTAGGATACTTTTAAGTTGTTTTATTCCCTATCATTCACTATAATCTGACTGTATATTTTGGACACAGAAAACTTTGATTTATCATCTATCATAATAATGTCTTTATATACCTGCCTAGATAATATAAAAGAATGAGAAGTGTAAATGCAAAGGCTTTTGGCAAACAGCAGTAATCTGATAATTAATACATCCAATGATGCTTTATGAAGTACAAATATCCATGTATGAATGTAGTGACATTGTGCCAAGCTCTAGACGGTAAATTTTCACAAATGTTTACAAAATCTTGTGTTCTAAGAGATAAATATCATATTGAACATGCTGGCTGTTTTTGCCATACACATTACAAAATTTCATATTTTGTCATGAGAGACCGATCAACTAAATGCTCGAAGACTCATAAAGCATGCAAACAGAAGAGGAACATGAGAAACTTAAATAATAAAAAAGATGATATTATCCTAGACAAATTCCTTCTGAGAGAAATGAAAAATTTGATTCCCCCACTCTGCAATATTATGAAATCTGAATAAGATAGAGAAGAAAGGCAGAAATATTTGACCCTATGATGAAGACACCTCCGGGTCACTTCCTCTTCTACCATTTACCTCTGAGCAACAAATTAATTGTGGTGAAACATCAATGTCAATATGTGATGCTTCTCCATTTAGTTTGGGTAGATCTTCTTCCTTTTCTTCTTTTAGGCCTTCATCATCCAATTTTCTTAACTCTGACTTTTCTGATGTCTTTGTGGAAGCTTCATTTGTCTGGACCAGAGCTTCAGTCGACTGCTTGTGCTCAATTGCTATTTGAATTGGACTGACTTCTTCTGAAAATTTAACACAAACTTCTGCTGCTGAGCTCTCTTCTTCCTCTTTGGTAGTTTCATTTTCTTCCAATTCTTCTTTTATAGTATCTTCTATAATCTGCTGGTGTGGCTGATACTCTCCTACTTCATCTTCATTCTCACTACTGCTGCTATTGGATGACAGTGATGAAGAGTCTTTTTTTGCTAGGTGTTCCATCTTCTGACTTTCCCCACTACCACAGACAAATGGCATTTTCCCCCTGTTGGTATCGTCTGTGACTACTGCCTCTGCTATCCCAACCTCTGCCTGTTTCTTCTCCACTATGTCCAGAGTCTCATGTGAACTCTGCACAAAACAAATGGGTGAGAAAAAACAAAAAGTAGAACATATGAATAAACAAAACAACAAACATAAAACTAAAGGATGGGTGGTTTGGGTCATATGAAGAGCAAAGATGATTTGCAATTGTTAAATGAAGAAAAAAAACACAACAATAACAAACAAAGAAAAGACAAAAGAAGATTTTGAAATGTAAAAAGCTCTCAATGGACTATGGCAAAATAGTAGAACCTGAATAGTCCTGCTGGTTCCAATAGAAGGGTCTTCCGTTTGGAAAGTAAATTTCTGTGAAACAAAATGCAATTGGAAGATATATAAATACATTTTAACACTCACTGACACAAACATCTGCCTTTACATTTTACAACAGCACAGATGGGCTGATTATACACTCATACATTTCTGGGGTAATTTTGTTAGATCACAAACAACAACATTGAAAATATAAAAATACTTGGACTGGTAACTCTACCAGGGCCTGCCTGCCTTCCTGCCTCCCTCCCTCTCTCTCTCTCACACACACACACACACACACAAATATTGGTACTAAAATGCTATTATGAAATTTGTCCATAAAGATACGCATCAGGTGAAGGAGTTTATTTAATAATGGAAGTATAAAGCAATATTACTAGAACATAGTAACGATTTCCTGCTATATAGAAACTGACATTAACTGTTAACATTTAGCATCTTTTACTATGCCATAGGTCCTACGGTATAGACAAATTAGTTTAACAGAGCTTAAAAGCTGAATGATAGAGATATGAATAAATAAGAAAATGGTATTTTTGTTCAATTAAACGTAGCACAGCATGTGTGACATAATAGGGAATTTTGGTTTTAACAAGTATAAAGTTTGACATTCATAGGTTTTTTTCAATGCATTATATGTGTGTGTGTGTATCCATGTACATACACAAATAGTGAAAAGAAGTTTTAAGATCTAGCTCCAAGAAACATATA